TTGGTTAGTTCAGTGGAAGTGCCTGCAGTTGGTGGTAGTTTTTTTTTCAAAGTGAAGTGGCTGTTGTGGTTGTGATCAGTAGAAAGCAGTAGTGGTGGCTTGTGTGGTGTAAGTTCAGTGGAAGTGCCTGCAAGTCATTGGTAGGTTGATTCAAAGAGTAAGTGGCTGTTGTGGTTGTGGATTCGTAAGAAGCGGTAGTGGTGGCAGATGTGGCTGTAGCTTTCAGTGGAGGTTCCTGCATTGTGGTAGTTGGTTCAGTGAAGTGGCTGTTTGTGGTTGTGATTCAGTAGAGCATATTATGGTGGCTTGTGTCGTGTAGCTTCAGTGGAGGTTGCCCGCATTTTGGTCTGTTGGTTTCAGGTGAAGTGGGCTGTTGTGTGGATTTCAGTAAAGTCGGTAAGTGGTGGGAATGTGGCTGACTTCAGTGGAGTGCTCAGTTGTGTAGTTGTTTCAGGTGAAGTGGCTGTTGTTGCTGTGATTCAGGAAGCAAGTGGTGCTTGTTGTTATAGTTATGGAAGTCTGCAGTGTGGTATTGTTTCAGGTGAAGTGGCTGTTTGGTTGTGGATTCAGTAGAGGCATAGTGGTGGCTTTTGGTTGTAGCTTCAGTGAAGTGCCTGCAGTTGTGGGTAGTTGTTTCAGGTGAAGTGGCGTTGGGTTGTGGGTTCAGAGAAGTGGTAGTGGTTTGCTGATGGTCGTTAGCTTCAAGGGTGCCGCACTTGTGTTGTTGCGTTCAGTCGAAGTGGCTGTTGGGTGTGATTCAGTAGACATGGTATGTGGCAGATGTGGCTGTCAGCTTCAGTGGAAGTGCTGCAGTTGTGTAGTTGTTTCAGGTGACAGTGGCTGTTGTGGTTAGTGGGTTCAGTAGAAGTGGTAGTGGTTGCGTGTCGTTGTCGCTTCAGTAGAGGTGCCCGCACTTGGTTGTCGGTTCAAGTGAAAGTGGCTGTTATGTGGTGTGGATTTCAGTAAAGTGTAGTGGTGGCATGATGTGGTAGTCAGTTGGAAGTGCTGCATGTGGTACGTTGTTTCAGTGAAAGTGGCTGTTGTGGTATGTGGGGTTCAGTAGGAAGTGGTACGTGGTGTGATGTGTGAGCTCAGTGGGAAGTGCCAACGTTTGTGGGTGTTTGGTTTCAGGTTGAATTGGCTTGTGTAGGTGGATTCATAGAAGCGGTAGTGTGGCAATGTGGGCTGTAAGTTCATGGTGTGCCGCAGTTTGGTACGTTGTTCGGTGAAGTGGCTGTTGTGGTTGTGATTCAGTAGTAGGTATGTTGCTGATGGTTATCTCAGTCGAAGTGCTGCTTGTTCGGTTTGTTTCACGGTGAAGTGGTTGCTGTGGTTTTGGTTCAGTAAGAAGCGGTAGTAGTGGCTGATGGCTAAGTTCAGTGGAGGTGCCCTGAACGTCATTGTAGTAGTGGGTTCAGGATAGTTGCTTTGTGGTTGTGATTCAGTATAAGGTAGTGGTGGCTTGTATGGTTGTAGCTTTCAGTGAAGTTGCCTGCAGTCCTTTGTAGAGTTGGTTTAGTAGAAGTGCTTGTTGTGGTTGTGGATTCAGTAGAAGTGGTAATGGTGCTTGTGTGGTTGTAGCTTCCATGGAAGCTGCAGTCTTGAGTATTGGTTCAGAAGTACGTGGCTGTGTGTTTTGGTTCAGTTAGAAGGTAGTGGTGGTTGTGTGTGAGGCTCAGTGGAGTGCGGCAGTTGAGGTGTTGGTTTCAGGTGAATGGGCTGTTTGGGTTGTGGATTCAGTGAAGTGTAGTTGTGCAGATGTGGCTGTAGCTTCAGTGGAAGGCTGCAGTTGTTGGTAGTTGTTTCAGGTAAAAGTGGCTGTTTGGTTGTGGGTTCAGAAGTGGTAGTGGTTGCTGATGTGTTGTAGCTTCAGTGAAGTTGCCACAGTTGTGGTTGTTGGTTTCAGGGAATGGCTGTTGTGGTGTGGATTCAGTGAAGCGTAGTGGTGGCAGATGTGGTGTAGCTTCAGTGGTAGTGCCTGCAGTTGGGGTAGTTGTTCAGTGAAGTGGCTGTTGTGGTTGTGGATTCATAGAGCTAGTGTAGTGGTGGCTGTCTAGTGGTTGTATGCTCATACGTCGAAGTGCCTGCAGTTGTGGTAGTTGGTTTAGGTGAAGTGGCTGTTGTGGTTTGGATTCAGGTAGAGCAGGTAGTGGTGGCTGGTGTGGCTGTAGCTTCAGTGGAGGTGCCTGAAGTCATTGTAGTAGTTGGTTCAGGAGAAGTGCTTGTTGTGGTTGTGGATTCAGTAGTATAGTGGTAGTTTGGTGGTGTGTTGTATGTAACGTTCAGTGGAAGTGCCTGCAGTTCATATGTAGGAGTTCGGTTTTAGTAGAAGTGCTTGTTTGTGGTTGTGGATTCAGTAAAGTGGTAGTGGGTGGTTGTCTGGTTGAGCTTCCATGGAAGTGGCTGCAGTCATTGTAGTAGCTGGTTCAGAAGTAGTGGCTGTGTGGTTTTGGGTTCAGTAGAAGTAGGTAGTGGTGGTGATTGTTGTGTGTAGCTCAGTGGAATGCCGGCCAGTTGAGGTTTTGGTTTCAGGTGAAGTGGCTGTTGGTGGTTGGTGGATTCAGTAGAAGCGGTAGTGGTGGCAGATGTGGCTGTAGCTTCAGTGGTAGTGCCTGCAGTTGTGGTAGTTGGTTCAGGTGAAGTGGCTGTTGTGGTTGTGGATTCAGTAGAAGCAGTAGTGGTGGCTGGTCTAGTTGTAGCTTCAATGGAGGTGCCTGCAGTTGTGGTAGTTGGTTCAGGTGAAGTGGCTGTTGTGGTTGTGGATTCAGTAGAAGCAGTAGTGGTAGCTGGTGTGGTAGTAGCTTCAGTGGAAGTGCCCGCAGTCATTGTGGTAGTTGGTTCAGGTGAAGTGGATGTTGTGGTTGTGGATTCAGTAGAAGAGGTAGTGGTGGCTGGTGTCGTTGTAATGTCAGTGGAAGTGCCTGCATTCATCGTGGTAGTTGGTTCGGATGAAGTGGTAGCTGATGCTGTAGTAGTCTCAGTTGAGGCATTGGTGGTGGATAATGTGGTGGAGTCTATTATAGGAGTAGTAACTGTAGGTTCAGAACTTGTTGATGAGGGTGTTCCAGTCGTAGATGAGGGTGTCCCATGGCTTTCAGGAAATTGGATAACAATAGAGGCATTACTATTTTTCCCACTGTATACCAGGGACAGTATGAGTACTCCGACTGCTGTTGTTATCACACAGGCTAAGAGACAAACCAGGAAGATTTTCCACAGAGACCAGTCATTGAGGAAATTTCGTGTTACCTAGAAAGGATTTAAATAAAATTATTAAAGATGAAGCAAAATCTTTCAAGGAAAATAAGTGCCATTGATTGTCCTTTCTGGATTGTATTTTTCTTGTAGTAGTTTTATGCCTTACATTTAAGTCTTTGAGCATTTTGAATTGAATTTTGGATATGATGTAACATAGGGTCCAATTTCATCCTTCGTCGTGTGGATATTCAGTTTTCCCAACATCATTTTTTGAGGAGACCATTCCTTCTCCATTGTGTGTTCTTAACATCTTTGTCTAAAACAAACTGATCATAAATGCATGGATTTATTTCTTGGCTTTCTACTCTACTCAATTGATCTATAGTTCTTTTTCTTATGCCAGTACCATCCTGTTTTGAAATAGATTATTCATTAAAAGAATGTATAAATATAAAAACTATGTGAAGCAACAAATGCTGGGCTCAGATTTTAGTTTTCATTAGGAGAAACCTTGTCCTTGTGTTTTCCTTAAATTTAGAAAAAAGAAATTTCCAGTGACCACTCATGCTTGCTTGTTCATATGGCTATTCTTTCCAATTTAAAAAAAATAATAAATTGCTTTCTTAGAAACTCTCTATACCTCCAAGGATACAGAATGGTTTCTAAGCCATGGTTGAGCACAACAGGTCAGAACTAGGACTAAAGAAAGGCCCACAGTTAGGCTCCGAGGCAGGCATGGAAGCGGCGTTTGAGATATTACCCTCAAATTAGGCCCAGTGGCCTTCACATATGATTTCACCTTTTACCTGAGCAAGGTTTACAATGTCATTCACTGCCAATGTATTTCCTATATTGTCACCTACTCAGAACTTCAAACTTTTTTTGTTGTTTTTGACCCTTGTATATTTTCTCTAAACTCTGTATATGTTTTTGTCTTTCTGTCAAGATCATTAGCTTCTTAAAGGAAGAGCCCATAAAACTTCTGCTTCTCCAGTATACCCTTAGTGACTTTATATGTTCAAAGATTACTATCGATACTCACACAAAAAAATGTCATATAAATTGATTGAATGTTTTCTCTCCAAATATTGGATTGCAAGTGTTTTCTTGTGGATTACACCTTAACCCAGCAAAACAGTGTTGCCCCAAGCATTACCTGACAATGTTGGAATTCTCTGTTTGGGAACTCTGACTGTCCCAGGGTTTCGGGGTTGGTGCAGACACCAGTTAAACTGGTAGCACTATCACCAGTTATATCAGTTGATGTAGAAAACTGACATGCTGAATTGTGAGCTTCATTTCTTGGGTTCAGGAATGGCTGTAGACAGAAAAGAATGAGAAAAATGTCAAACAGAAACTGACTATCGGGGAGTCTGGCTCCAGCAAAAAAATCCTACCTGTGACCTTTCGGGCCCAGTCATAGGCCACTCACTGCACAATCTCCACCTGGCACAGGAAGCTCAAGGAAGGAAGCTGCCGCCCCTATAGCCTTGGTTGCAGCCATGCATTGCAGCCTCTGGACGGATGTGCAGTCAGGAACTCAGCCTCCACTCTCCCCAACCCTGCCCTGGGCCCTCCATGCTCTTAAGATATCTGCACTCCTAGCCTAGGAGGGTTACTCAGCTGAGATACTCTTCAGGCACCTATGTGGGACTTCCTTATCGGGGGCCTTGAAGACAATTTTTTCCACTCTGACTTGGTACTCAGCTTTTTTTTTCACTTCTAGCCCTTCCTCCTCTTTTTCCCTCTAGCCTTCCAGGTCCATAAAATGATAGAAGATTTTTATTCAGGGCTCCCTTGGCAATGAGATGATCCTAGTCTGCACTGATCCACTTAACCTTGCCCAGTGTCGTTACATGGAGAAAAAAAAATTGGAACATTAAGGCGGCTGGCATCCTTTCCTTTTTGGCCTCTTGCTTATACTATTGCAGTAAGTGAAAAAGGCCTTTGTCATTACTTTCAGTTTGGCTTAAAGTCCTAACTGACCACCTGTAAACCTAGCAGCTCTCAACACCTACTCTCTGACACAGTCACTGTGTTCCTGAATGTATATTCAAGAGCTATGAAAGCATTTGTCCACCATAAGCACTGGGCAAGGAAGTTCATGGCAATTTTATTCATAACAACCAAAAATTGAAAATAACTCAAATGTCTATCAACAGAAAAATGGATAAATAAATTGTGATATATTTATGCAAATGTATTGTTTTACAGGAAAAAAGAGAAGGAACAAGTGACACAGATGCAATAATGAGCAACAAAAGCCACACAAAATAGTACTACAATTCCATTTATATGACATTCAAGAAAATGTAAAACTTAAACTGTGGCGATAGAAGTGAGAAGCGTGGTTACCTCTGAAAGAGGAGGCACTGAGAGCCGGCACAGGGAGCTTCTTGGGTGTTGGAAATGTTCCGTATCTAGATCCAGGTGGTGGCTTCACAGGTATGTGTGTGATGTATACATGTATGTATATGTCTGTAAAATCATCAAGCCGCATGCTTACTATGGGTTTACTTTGTGTATGTTTTACATAAAGTGTACTGTATCTTTTTTTTCTTTTTCGTTTTCAGAGTATTATGGAATATGAACACTTTGGTTACATAAATTGCCTTTGCATTGCCAGATAAGCATGCCCATCCCCCAGGCAGCATACACCGCGTCCTTTAGGTGTGCACAAAGGCGAGTCAGAGTGGTATCGAGGAAGTATAAACAGAAGATTTCAACTATTTCTGTAATGGTTTATTTTTGAAGTTATGAGTATTTTTAAAAATTTTTAAACACATTAAAAAAAATTTTAAGTAAATAAATAAAAAAAGATGCATTCAAATAGGAAATGGTAGGTTTTCCTTGAAGTGAGGTTGAAAGAAAAAGAATTGCAGACACACTTTCAAGAAAAGGAGAGTATCTATGTTAGGTATTTGTGGGAGTATAAATTGTTGCATGTAAATTTGTTATAGCTGAGAAATAGCACAGAGTTACTTTTTCCTCATAGGACAGTAGGAGTATTATTTAAATGTATACTTTTAACTATATTGATTAAATGATCAATACTAGATGGATTTTTAAGAGACTATTGACATTGCCAGATCAATTAATCTCTAAATTTTATTAAAACTATCAAACTAAATATGTGTACAGACACTGGTCAGTGAGAGATTATATGTAAGAATAAAAGAGAGTGTAATTGTGATTAAATAGAGGCAAGAAGATTAAATAGAGGCAAGTGTAAACAATTAGTCAGGGTCTATTTTTCTAGAAGTACAATAGCATGCCAAGGAAATAAAGAAAATAGCTATGCAATGATATCAAATAGGAGCATATCTGATCTAGATAGGTACTTTAACAAAATCTCATCTGTTTTTCAATAGGGAACTTTGAGAAAAATAAAGATTTATCTTTTATAAAAGCTTCACTTATTCTTCAGTTACTCAGTATGCTAAGAGTGATGAACTTGGATATTTTTGGAACTTTTATAATTAAATAAGAACTCACTTGCCATATCAGCTTGCCTGAATTTCTTGAAAATTCTTTAAAGAAAGGAAGACAGTGGGTGCCTATACCAAGAATGGAGAACCCATGAAGCTAAAACTTTGGGGGTAATACAATTCTTGCTGTCTTAGTTCCTTCCGTCTCTTAATAAGAGTGGGGTCTCTGCAGTCAAAAATTTGAGCAGGTAGAAAGCTGTGAGTTATATTTAATTAGCTCTTGGTGAGACCCAAACAATTTCCATTATGCATCTGATGCATTAGTTATGTTCACGTGGAATAAAATTTTAAACTCTCAGTTCATAGATTTAAAGACATTCATTTACCATTTTTTTGTTTCCTAAGAGGGAAAAACAAACTCCTAAATTTTATGTTTATGTGGCCTTCAATTGCTATTTAATTCATTGGCAAAGATGGCTCTAAATGAAAAAAAAAAATGTTTTCTATCACTACCTCCAAATATCCATATGTAAAGTAAAATATTCAGTGTTAAGATATGTACCCTTTATCTGAAAACTCAACGTTGTATAGGAAAACACTCCAGATGACTAACTGATTCCTTACCATTACCAAAGGGACCTTTTTACTTGAGTATTCTGACACTGTGAAGACACAGTGACAGATTTGCAGGGCTGCAAGGATGAGGAAGGCTGTTTTCAGGGGCAGGGGTGCTGATCTAGAATCAAAGGAACAATTTCTCTGCCTTGTAACTTCCTTGTTAGTGCATGGGGAGAAAAGTATTTTTCCTCACAAAGTGTAACTATCCACTCAAACTTATACTGATTTCATTCAGCCCACATCGACTTCTGTTTCCAATGTCAAGGGCTCTAGTCAGACATGAATAGTTACATAAAATGCAACCATAAAACATATGATAAAAAATTGTTTCTTCTAAAAACATAAACAATAGCCAAACATGATTGTATATAATTGAGCTCTAATATTTTACTTCAATATAATTTTTTACCAAAAAAAATTCATAAATAGTTAATTAGAGAACAACTTGAGGAGTTTGCTAGATAAATTGCGCCGTAAGCCTAGATTTCACTTAGAAAATTCACTTCTAACTTTCAAAGATATATAAAAATCTTTGAGTTCTAACAACTCTAGATGTTACACTAAAAATGTTGACGGTTAACACAAAAATCTACATATCACATTTTAAAAATATAATTTTTAATACAATCAAAAGCAGACTTGTTGGCTTATGCCTAAATTATAACAACTGTAGAGCATTATTTGGACATATTCAATTGACACCTAAATAATAGCCAATGTCTTAAATCAATGCATATTAAAAATAAATGTCTAAACTGTTTACATATGGATGCAGAAAAAATATAAGTTTTCTAATTAATAAGTTGTAAAAGAATAGCTAAAAATGAGCTACCATCTGAAACTTTGATTAGAAATTCCATTTTGAAAAGAACTGTGTTATAATAAAAAATATTAAAGTTTCATAAATCTTGGAAATAAGACTCTTGGCTATCAGAACATACCACAGTGGTGCCACCAATACTCACCGGTTGGTTTCCAGAAGGTTCAATATTCACTACGTATTTCCCATGTTTTCTGTGCATTCTGGAACCACCAATATCACAAGCTTAACTCCAGGAACATTTTTCAGCCTGTTCATTGTCCTTTATACCTGCAACCTTGAGAAATAATTGAGTTGATTAATAATAAATCTACCAATGAGACATAGGTGCCAGCATGGATTAGACCAAATAATAAATAGTTATTCTTTATGAGGGATCCACCTTGAAGGAAGAAGTGGGGTGTTAAGCAGTTACGTAAAGAAACAAGAAAATCAATTCCACCTCTATGACTACACTCTCGATACTACTACTCGATACTACCGGGCAGCCCGCCTAGTATTAATAGAAAGAAGCTGCAATCATATACAATTCCTCCTTTTCTTCCTAGTCACATCGTCTCAGAGGACTCTTCTTTCTGACTTCAGGAAGGGCCTAAGACAGAATTATGAAATCAGTGAATGTTGATGTTGCTGTTGCTTCTTTTCTAACCATTTGTGACCATTTTCTCCTCTTATTGGCAACAACTTTTAAGCACTCATGACCCACTACCCAACAAGTTTTGACCTTCTTGGGTTCCTTCCCATGCTCTAAAACTTTTCCAGTCTATCTCCTGTTTCTGCTTCTTAAAAAATTAGTCTGACTTGGCTTAGACCTCCTTAAGCCCCAATATATTAATAACAGAGATAGTTAACCTGATGGACAAATCTCTGTGAGGGCATTCACCAGGGTCCCTTTCTCTTCCCTGTCTGTGGGCTCTGTTTGGCATGGCTATCCAGAATGTTGCTTCTGATTGTGCTCATGATTTAATAACAGAACACTTTGGCAGGCAGAGTTCTGCCAACTTCTGCAAATTATACTCAAAAACAAAGACCATTTCCTTATCTGTAGGAATACCTTTGGCAGGATCTAAAAGACAACTGGCAAGAGTTAAGAAATAATTTTTAACTTCTGAAATGAGAAACTAGCTCCCAACACATGTATATAGCTCCCAACACATGTATCCAGTGAACCCTTGTGAAGAACCATGCTTAAATGACCTAAAACTCTAAAAATATCTCATAAGTAATATCCACAGACAATTTCTTTCAAATTAAGTAACAAAGTAGTTGTGCTTTTTTGTGGAAAATATTGTTTGATGTGACGTCAGGCTTCAAAGATAAGAATCACCTGAAAATAGAGGTGCACAAGGTCTGAGACATCTTGTAGCTTAGCCATGTCATTTTAAAGTTGAGGAAATTTGTGCCCAGAGAGAGGAAGTGATAAAAACCAGTTGTGTGGGGGAACATGGCTTTTGTTCAGTCTAATGTCTTCTCCACAGCTAGCTTATTAGTAGTGACATTGTAGAAAGATGGCCAGCCTAGTAGGATGTCAAGGAAATGTACTTTTGAAAATAAGGTAAGACAAAGATTTCAAAGACTTGGAGTTGGAAAAAACCCTAGTCGAAATGCATGTTATACATCAGGCACAGCCTGAGACTAAATCAGACTCTCAGGGGCAGAATCTGAGAGTTTGACTTTTTGTCCAAATGCCAAGGAATCCTTATTCAAATATTGAGAAATATTTTACTAAGCAATGATTCCAAGGATGTTCATGGAGCATCTTAATATCTTTGGGAAGAAGAGTAATGTGCAAAGAAATCTACATTTTCCTAAATTAAAAATTGGTTAGGTTTTCAATTGCTTATTTGTTCAACAAGCACCTTATGCAGTCTACTCTACCCAGGCATTGTGCAAGGTGTTAAGTGTTTAATGGTGAATAACAGCCAAGATTCCTGCCTTCCTGGAGTTGAATAAAATATATATTGGCTATGTATTAACAATTTTTTTGAATTCTTTCTAAAGTTCTTTTATAAATACATTCTTTAGCAAAAAGTTTCCATTGGAATCCACTGAAGCAAGGTAAAATAGCTCCAGGGCCTACAGAACAAAAAAGATATGAAAAAGCAAAGGATTTTTTCCAAGAGTAAGAAACAATGGTTTCTGGGACTGTATAAATAGTGATCATATTAATATAATAATTTATCACTCATACAGAAATATTTTTGAAAGCAAAGGGAAGCAGTATTAATAATTTCACAGAGACAACAGTATCTCATGCAAACCAGGACATGTGGTCACTGAGCCATATAGAACTCACGTGAGTTGGAAGATTTGCTAGTACTAAACATGACCACTGGATGTCATTAATTTAAAGATCAATTTAATATCTCTAATGAACACAAATTTCAGTTGAATAGAATACATATTTTAGTTGAAATTTTAAAAATCTAATATAGCATTGTGCTACTGAGATACAAATATTTAAATTTTGCACTGGAGTTTCATAACCATCAAGTAAGTGGGATTCCAGCAATGTACATCATTATTTCAAAAATATATGGAAGTATATACATGATGCTGTCACCAACAAAATAATATCAAAGTCCCTCTTTCACTATCATTAATTAACTGTTGCAAGAGTCAAAGTAAGAATGAACAAGTAAATTACTATGTACTTAAATTTTCAGTGTAAAATCCAAACTTTTGCTATTTTTTTCAGAGAACACTTTTTGTTCACTTATTACAACACAGACCAACAGCTAGAGTAGAGTGCACGTGGATTATTACAATGTGCAAAGAGAATACAGATATCTTTAATTGGTATGTTGAATATCTCCTAGGAAAGCTTTTTATATCTGCAGAATTCGAAGCAAAAAGAATTTGGAAGTCTATATTAATTGAGAATGGTTGACAGTGTTCTAACAATGGGTCATCTTTTTAGCCAAAAGAATGCTGAGTCTGTTAATGTAAATCATCTATCATTATAAAATGAACCACATCATAGTCTTAAAAATTACAACAAAATTGATTTATTGATCACGTTACCTACTTCAAATTTTTCTGTGGCTGAAATTTCATTATGATCTGATCATAAGCAAAACACTTTTGTATCTCTGCTTTGGCCTTTTATTAATAACATGATGAGAACCAATGTGACAGTTCCAGTTCTCTCTCATCATTAGCAATTTTTTTAGGCGAGGGACATTATTGTAGTTCATCATATTGTGATGAGTGATTAACTGGTAACCAAATAGATAGATACCAGATTTCAAAGGCCTCAGTATAGTATTTAGATTTGCATTTAACATTAATTTAAACATAAAAAGATAATTGCTTAAAATGCATGGAAGTTTTTAAGTGTCAAGTAAAAATCAAGCCAATGCAATGACTATGCGAAAAAATGATCAGATGGGAGAGTGAAAAAACTAAAACTGTCTGCAAACTTGTTCAAGAAACCACCTCTTTCTTGCACCCCTTCAATAACAACAAAAAAGATGACTTAAAAAATAAATTAGGGAGTTGTTTTTTCTCGACATAAGGAGAGAGCTATAGAACGGCAGTTCAGGTGTGGGTAAAAGGTAGGAAGAACAAAAATTTCACCTCTTGCTGAAGAATTTGACCAAGGCACACTAAATGGGTGCTACTCTACACCTGGGTAGCCTCTGACTCAGACACATCTCATCATTAATATTACTGGCATTTTTATTGAGGTATGCCTTCTTCCAGTGCATACCACACTGGTCATATCTAATCCTCCTAATATCTTCCTAAATTATGTATCATTACACATTTTCCTGATGAAATACCAAAGCATTTAGTGATATACTTTATGAATCTGAAGATGAGTTTGTGGCTCGCAGACTCATTCACCCACAAAGTGATGATTAAATTCCTCGTAATTCACTGTGTCACATTAGAGGCTGAGAAAAAATTGGGGGATGGAGGAGAGGGAAAGATATTTACAAACTTAATCTTTTATGGAAGGCAAAAAATAAATCATAAAGCATCTAGAAACTCCAGAGATGTGCCTCACAATATATTAAGACAGCATGGTTGTTTACTGGCAGCAAGAAAGAGATGGTGCCAATGCCTGGAAAACTTGCCCACTAGCAAAAGATTTCTGGGAGGTGGACCCAAATAACATCACAGGCTTAGAATTATCAGGGAGAAAACAAAACTTATTATTTATTATTTTTGCAGACTCTGAATCTCTGTTCAGAGTTCAAGCAAATGATCAGCACAAGAGAAGCCAAACAAAAATATCAAGGCTTCCTAACAGGTGTAATTCAATTAGAGAATAGTCAGGGGTTCAGGCATTCACTGGCTTCCATGCCATAGCCTGCCTGTGGGTAGCAGGGCTCTAGTGTCTGAATAGATGAGACTCCAGTCCATAGTGCTGGGGGCTGAAAAAGAACAAGACAAAGCTTCCAGCCCAGTGCATTGGGCATCCCATGATGACACACCCCACTCAGCACAGGACATATAGTGGATCCTCAATAAGTATTTATTGAATAAACACATAAAATAATTCTAAATGCCTGCAATACATTTTACAGGTAAACAAAAATCAAAGTTCAAAGAGGTTTAGTAACTTACCTCAGGTACACAACTAAGTTGCAGATTTGGAAGTCGAACATGAGTCAATCTCATCTTAGACCCAGTTCTTCCCTCTAAGTCTGTGACTGGGACATTCATGGTCCACTTCTTAGCAGAACCTCTGGGGTAACTCTTACTGACAGTTATTCCCTCTCAGTGAATAACTCTGTCCTAGCTGCCTGCCTTTAACGCAACCAGAAGTTCTGCAGCTCACACTTAACATCTTCAGAATCAACACACCCACTGACTAGAGCATCCAAACCTGTACCCCAAATCGATCAAGGCAAAACCTCACTGCTTATTCACAACATAAAAAAAGGATTTAGAAGGCAGACAGCAAAGAATCTTACCCTTCTTTAATTTTGACCTTTAAGTGAAGAGATGAATATCATGAGTTCTTCATAATTTATATTTTTGAATTAAGAGTATCAGATAAGAGTCGATTAATCAGACAGCCATCGGGCAGTGTCTCTCCGGCCAGCTTTGCCATGACCTTTCATCACTGTGCACCTGTGCGCACACTCATTCATTCAGGCATGCACTCAACAAGTGTTTGCTAGACCTTTTGCTATGCCAGGCCTGTGTAAAGCACTTCATAAGCATTTTCTCATTTAATCCTCACACCTGCATTCACTAGCAGGTAATACTAGTATTCCCCTTTCATACATAAAGAAGCTGAGCTTCAGAGGTGTCAGAACTTGC